CCCCAAAACCCCAAAACCCCAAAACCCCAAAACCCCTATCAATTAAAATTATATTGAATTTGAGAATAACTTAAATTGCAATTCAAACTTATAACACTACTGGGTTTTCTGGAAAGAGCTCTTAGAATTCATCATCGTCATGTACAAAAGTCTTCTTGATTGAAGCAGAGGACCTTTATCAGGCATATTCTTAATGCTAACCTCTGGAGGAGATGAATTTTTCTAAAAATTAGAAAATTAACAATACTGCTTTTGGAGTTTTCCTATTGAACTTAGGACTCATCATTTGGACAGAGGAATCTGCATTTCTTGATTTCGAACGTATAGCTAAACAGGTGACTCTTCAAAATTACAATTTATTCTTGATTGATTTTCAATTTTACTGATGACTTCTCTTGCAGTTTTGAAACCATTGTTTGGTTTTTGTAAATATCTAGTCTTCAGCATGTAATGCTCATAAGCTATGTTTTTCTCAATATTGTCAGCATCAAATTTCGGACTAGATAAATTTCTTGTAGTGAATCCAATAGTTTGCTCACCTTGCTCTAAACTTTAGACATCTATTACCTATATTTACCCATTCTGGACCCTGAGTTTGCACCATTTTGAGATCCTTATTATCCCTAGTTGCCCTACCAGAAGAACGATATGCGTCATTACTCCTAATGGCTGATCTCTTATAAATAGAGGGTAACTTTCCATCCTTAAGTAATTTACTTCCTGTTCTTGTTTTATTTAATTTCTATTTCGTTTCTTGATCTCTCTTCTTTTAATTTGCCCTCTATTTCAACTACACATTACTAACACTTTACTTCTCTTTTTCTTCTCTTCAACTATTGAGCTTTTAATCTGAGCGATTTCGTCTGCGATATCATTCACATTTTCAGGAGATTTATTTTTGAAAATTATGTTAGGACTTGACTCAACCTTGGTCAAGCTGAAGACCTTAGATTTCTCCTGGTCTATTTTCTGGCTTGGTATCTTGCCAACATGATTAAATACTCTTTAGGTTCTCTTCAATTTTGAGGATCAAATTAAACTTTTGGTTCATCTGATCAGCTTTATTTCAATATCTTCTGATCTTCTATTGGGAAGTTAAGTTTTAGCAAATAAAATTTGAAAATTTAAGGTAAGTTTATATACCTTTTTTACCAGTTTCAAGGTCGTATAGCATATCTTTCATATTTTCTGGAAGACTCTTGGGATACTATATTTTGATAAGCAGGAATACCTTTCTTGTCATTGCCATTTTCAATATTTCACGGATTTTATTTGACTTTTCATCTTCTTCCTCTTTCTGTGCTTTATTGACAGTAGGCTTATTTATAATTTGGGTTACATCTGTCGCTTCTTCCTCTCTTTTCACATACAAATCTTTTAACAACTGACCAGATTCCCTCATCCTTCTTTTTGTTAAAAGTGAGGATTCATCAATTATGTATTTTTGACTCAAAAACCACAAGATTCCTTCTGGACTGATTCATTTAACTGTGTACTCACAGATGTGAGGCTTCTTCATGGTTTCATTTGCTCCAAAATATTGTCCTTTTAGAGCAGTAACAAGAGGGATATCTTCTCTCTTGACAATGTTTTTAGCATATCATCCCAATTTTTGGTACTTATTTATTCTTTAATATGTCTAATCTTTTGTAAATTTGAAATTCTCCTTTATAAATCAAGTAGACTCCCTTTGATTTATCTCCCTCATTATAGACAGTGTTTCCTCTGTTATATCGATATTCATCAATAGTGTAAGTCAGTCTACTCAGAGTTTGCTTAGATAAGTGCTGTAGAAAAGGAAATGACTTCAAGAATCCTATCTTCTCATTCAATATTCTTTCTTCAATGGGTTTAATGATGCTTTCATAGTTCTTTCTTGTTAAAACTGCTCAAGTCACCGAGGTAAAAGCTTGAATTGTTGCAGCTCTTGGCTTATTATTGATCAAAGCGAGTTCTCCAAAAGACGCTCCTTTCTCAATCTTATTTATCATATTCAATAGTCTAATCTTGAACTTTCCTATTTTAGTTTCGCCATCATAATCTAAAGTTTCATAAAAATCGCAGTTCTTAACATTAGGGTCTGAAGAAGGAATTAGTAAGGTGTCGTTTTTATTTTTGTAGTCAAATATTTCTTCCTTTGTGCCAGTCATTTCGAATTCCAATGGTACATATATTTTAGCACTCCCTTCAAGAATAATGAAAAACTCTTCTCCAACCTTCCTATAAGTTATAATATTTTCTTTAGGTTCAAAAGAATGAAGAGTGAATTGAGAACAGCACTCTTTGACAGCTTCTCTTCCATGACTTTCTTTCAATTCATTTAAAAAACGGATATTGCTTAGTTTATCTACTATTAATTGCACTTGCTCGATCTTTCTTTCTTCAGGAGACAAAGACATTATCTCTTTAAATTGAGCATCCATCTTCTAAATTTTAATAATTTATTTATTAAAATCAATATTTAGTAAGATCTTCGGGGTTTTGGGGTTTTGGGGTTTTGGGGTTTTGGGG